GTAGAGGGGCAGAATCCCCTCCCTCGACCTGCTGGCCACGCTTCTTTGGATGCAGCCCAGGGTATGATTGGCCTTCTGGGCTGCGAGCGCACATTGCTGGCTCATATCCAGCTTTTCATCCACCAGTACCCCCAAGTCCTTCTCTGCAGGGCTGCTCTCAATCCATTTATCCCCCAGCCTGTATTGATACCAGGGGTTGCCCTGACCCAGATGCAGGCCCCTGCACTTGGCCTTGTTGAACCTCATGAGGTTCACACAGGCCCACGTCTCAAGCTTGTCCAGGTCCCTCTGGATGACATCCCTTCCCTCAGGCGTGTCAACTGCACCACTCAACTTGGTGTCATCCCAGTCTTGCCAAAGTCTAAGCTGCTGGGACGTGAGGACTGTAGGTTTCAGTTACATTGTACACAGTCAGGTTTATTTGACCTAAATGACCCAAGCCACACCTCAGACTTTTATGGACCTGGGCCTCAGTCATTTGTTTTAGTCTTCCACAGAGCTTCATAAACTTGTGGTTTAAAATGTTCTACAACGCAACCTGTAGCCATTCCAGACTGCTTAATTAGGGGAAACTTAAATTTAACGGCAGATTAAGCCTGAAGAATTTAAACAAAATTTTTGGAAGTGCTAAGTAAATGTCATAGAATAGAACACATCATAAATCAGTGTAGGGCTGAGAGCAAAAGGAGGCACAAGACATGATTATATTGCTGGCCTGCTTATGAAATTGAGGTATTGATGAAACAGCCTACTTTTCCTTTCCCACTATGGTTATTTCTTTGTATTTTTATGCCTTTTTTTTCCTATTGCATATTTCAGTACTGAGTAACTGTTTCAGCTGGGATAGAGTTAATTTTCTTCCTAGCAGCTGGTACAGTGCTGAGTTTTGGATTTAGCATGAGAATAATGTGATAACACACTGATGTTTTAGTTGTTGCTAAGCAGTGTTTATACTAAGTCAAGGACTTTTCAGCTTCTCACGCCCTGCCAGCGAGAAGCTGGGAGGGGGCACAGCCAGG